CCACTTGGTTACGAAAGAGGTTTTCCACATTGGTGTGAGATACACTAATGGATACATTTGGCAGACTATCGGTCTGCTTGCAAACAAGGCAAAGTCAATAACTTTAACCAATTAGAATAATAGGATTCTGCCAACCATTCGCTGATAATTCCTTTCATTTTGAAAATTTGATTAGGAGGTTAAGAGAACAAACAAACAAATAAACTGTTCTCATGGTTACCAGAAATCGGCTTTGCTTTCCTATTTAAGTGAATCGATACTTTCGGACGAAAGTTTAGTTAATTTAAGTGAAACGCACCTTACGCTTGCGCTAACGTGTAAGCCGAAGTAGTGGGCTTAACCCTTCCGTCACTAAGACTTGATAAGGAAGCATGTGGTTTTTTCCACATGCTTGATAATCAAGCATGTGGGGATCGTCATAGAATGGGCGTTTAGTCCGTTTAGTCCCCGGTGTACAGGGCTTGGGGTCCTAACTGTAAAGAGAAAGTTCCGTGGAGATACGCTGTCGTAAAGACGGTGCTTCAAACGAGAAGACTCTGAGCCATCCATTCATTGAAACGCGGGACCAAGATGCCTCCCCGCCGCGTCACGCGCGCTGAAGCGGAGGCGTTCCTGCGTCGTCTTGACGGGAAGGAAGGCGCAGAACGCGCCCAGCTGCTTGAAGAGCACCGTGCGTATGTCGACGGTACGCGTGACCGCGATGCTGACTTTGGCGACGACGTTGCGGGTGAACCGCTTGTTTCAGCTCCTACGTCAGCAACGACAGGAAGACGGCCTAGGATGACAGTGGCTTCACGCAAGCCTCCTGCTCCAGCTACGTACCAGAAGAAGGGCGCACTAGTGGGGTACTACAATTTGCTGGCAAGAGCGCCGCGATTGAAAGGGAAGGCGCCTGTCGCAGCATTGTATGCAGAAGAGCTTGCTGCCGATGCTGCTTCTGCTGATGAGGATGGGAGTGACAACGGAGATGAAGAATACGTGGAAACGGGAAAAGACCAAGTAAATGACGACGCTGAGTTTGACATGGCGACAGCGGCAGAGATAACAACACCGAAGAAGGCGGCGAAGAAGAAAAGACCGGCAAAGGCGACTGGCACGACCAAAGCAAAAGGTAAGCGTAAGCGCGCAGCATCGAAGAGCTCAAGAGCTGACAAATCTGCGCGGACAACAAGTTTACACGTCGCTGCTGATGACGAAGACGACAGGTGAGGAGATTATGCGTTTTGCGTACGATGTGTTTCTCACAGAACGTTAACATGATATTTAAAGATTAACTCAGAGATTTAGTTTCAAGATGATATTCTATTATTTTTTCCCGCTTAAGTACATTTCTAGGAAACTCTTTTAATTAGGGCGTGGTCGCGGCAGCCTCCATCTGTAGGTGGAGGCTGAATAGTTCCTCCAGTTGAGGTCGCGTCGTTCTCCACCTCCATCTGGAGTATCTTACCTTTCAAATCATCAGCAGTCAATCAGGTTAGACCTATTCTCAACGCCGTCTACGCAATACGCAGTCATTTCCCCACCTGAGCCCCAAAGACACTTTAATAGAAAAGTCATGAGGCGTCGCCCTTCCGGGCTGTATCAGCGGCGATCAGTACAGACAAGTGAATCTGGATCTTCGCGAACTAGTCAACCGCGAGATCCGTCAATGGAAACAGGAGTCTCACAACCTACGCCCGAAGGCGTCAGCGAAGAGGCGTTTGCGTGGACAACACGTGCAGCTGTTGCTCTTCTTAGAGCTCGTTTCGTCAATGGCGTATCGGTTCGGTGGTGCAAAGAGCTCCGCTCAGCTAAGAGCAGCCTGGATCATGGTTGCAGCTGAAGTTTCTCGTCTTGGTGGCATAGGGGTGAGCCCGACACAGTGTAGATCGAAGGTGGAGTGTATTTGTCAAATTATTTATGTGCTTGGCTTGTGCTAACTTGCTGTTGCTTTTTAAATATGCGTAGATTAAACATATGTAGAAACAGTATACAGAATATCGCGTTGATCAACGTGACACCGGCAACAGGACTGAGATTCCCCTTCCCAGCTACGGGACAATGTGTGAGGTGTGGGGAAATATGACAGGCATGCAAAGTGAAGCTTTCTATTCAAGTGATACACGTCTACGACAACAGCCGGTGCCTGATAATACTGCGGAAAATGCTGCAGACAACACTGGCGATACGGAGGGAGGAAGCAGCTCGTCAGGGCAAGATGAAGCGGGTATAGGGCGACAGAGAGCAGGTAGTGCCACATCGTCAAGCGATCGTGGTCAAGGCTGGCAAGCTATTCGCCCATCAAAGCGTCACAAAACTGTGACACTGGCGGAAGGCATGCTAGCCGTACATGACGGCATGCTGGAAATTGCAGAAGCCTTTACAGCTTCAAAAGCACCTGCTCCACCAGCCACTACGAACACTAACAATGAGATTTTGCGGTCGCTGCATACATTGACGGAAAGGGTTCAAGCGCAAACAAACATACTCACTCAATTAGTCCACATGGTCACTGCAGCAAACACCGATACCAGAAACCAGCAACACCCGAGCCTGAACAATAAAACTTCAACGCAGCAAAGTTAAGATTTCATTAACAAATAATGCCAGCAATTCCGTTGCGCTTTTCCTTTCCAATTTTGCGAAGTATGGTGGCGTCTGCAGTGTAGCGCTCGTCCACCACCACCATTTCATTTTCAGAGGTCTCAACAAATGATGTTATCTGTGTGTCATCGTTCAATTCCAGCATCAAATTGTGAAGGTCAATCGTCGCCATAACCACGTGCATCATTTTAATCAGTGTCTTCTCATCCATCACAGTTTGCTATACACGAAAACGGCCCTTCCAGAGTCCAAACGTGCACTCTACTGCCATGCGAGTGCTCGAGTGAAGAAAATTGTACCGACGTTGCTGCGAATTCAACTCCCCACCTTCTTCCCGCTCTGCAAACGGTACCATAAGATATGGCAGCAATGCGTAGCCAGAGTCACCGATGAAATGAGTGCCAGCAGGGATAACTGAACAAGCATTGCGTCCAATTAAACTATGCTTCCAGCATTTACTATCAGACCTGGAACCAGGACGAATCTCCACACTCATGAATTTGTTGCTGGCTGATACTATAGCTTGAATATTTATAGCAGGATAGACTTTTCGACAGTAAAATCCTTAATAGTCCTCCGGCCGATCTATTTGGAGCAACGATCCGTCGCCTGCCCCAACTACACCAGGATACCCACGACGCACCATGAAATCCTTCTGAACTGCATCCCAACCATCTAGATCACGAGAAAATGACACGACCTCTTTCGAAACTAAATACAAAACGCGAGCAACTTCGTCCACGATGTCAATCACGTAGCTTTTGCTCATTCCCATTCCTGTTGCAATTTCGCGGTAGCCACCAGACGACGCGAAAAAGTAGAAAGCTGCTGCAATTTTTATCTCGTACGAGTGCTGCTTGACCACAGCGTTTGCGAACAAAATACCACGTAGCTTTAACAGCTTTGCAATAGCAAGAAACGACACCTTGGAGCACCGAAGATGCTGTGGAAACCACCCCTCACAAGTAGAGTCACAGAGCAACCTCTCGAAATGTAACACAGTCACAGTTCGTCGCTGTAGTACCTCATCCCCGTGCCGACTGCATGCGACCAGAGCGACTACGTTGGCAATGAGTGCTGCGAAAAGGAGAAGCACGTCCTCTCTGTCCATTGTTCTCTATTAACTCGATGTTTATCCAGCCTCCTCCGCCTTTGGAAGGTGGAGGAAAATAATGACATAATCCTCCTGTTGTGGTATCGAGAGGTAATTTCACCAGTCAATTAGAAAACTTTAAATTTCTCCTGTCGAGGCATTCTCCGGATGAAGAACTGACGCGACCACGCCCTTAGGTTCTAAAACAGTAGTAGTGATGGCAGGCCTTAATACTGACGAGTACTTGCTCTAGTATTTCACTGATACAAAGTCCATCGAGATGGAGAACTATAAACGGTTGCAGTTGTTTAAAGTTGATAGAGCGAAATCAATTGTTCTCTGCCGATAGCCTCGTCCTAATCACGCGTTTCACAAACCTGTAGCCTGTGACGCTATATAAATGCGCTCAGCAGTGCCAACACACAACACCAACCTTGCCTCTCACAATTGTCCCGGACTCAATTCCACCTCTTATTAGTAATACTTCAGCTAGTCGAACTTTAACGACATATGATTGGTGGATTTAAACCGATTTCGCAATCTTTAAAATATATAATTTCGTATTAGCTAATATTAACTTGATATTTAATAATATAATTTTGTCTAAGAAGAAAATACTAGATGGTATTATCACTAAATTAACCTCGCTATTTGTGGAGCTACCATTAGCCCCGGTTAAAAAGCATTATTTTGTCCCAGAAGAAAATTTTAGGTAATATTTTTAAATTAACTGATCTACCAGGTGATATTATCACAATATTAACTTCCCGATTTTGGAGTTACCATTAACCCCTGATGGTGGCCTCCCTCGAAGAGCTGACGGTAGCGGGTATCATGGCTGGAATTATCGCTGGCCTAGGGCTTTGAACTGGAGAAGACTCTTCCATCAGTTTGCTCGCTGCTTACAGGGAGACAAGGTCCACGAGCAGTGGGCCTCGAAGCAAAATCCAGCATTAACCCCCCCCCCCCCGAGCGCGAAGGGGCTTGAAGCCCACCGTTTGCCGAAACACTGTACACGATAAGTTTAATCTTCATGATTGACTCCAATAGTATATGCAATACGAAAATTAACATGTATCAGCCAAAGTCAGGCTATACCTTGACCCTTACATATCGTGAAGTCGGTAACGTGTATTAACCTGAAAAGCGTGTATTGTTGATACACGTTTTTAAAGAAAAGTGTATGGGCGGTGCAAAGACGACGCAATATCATCAAACAAGAAAATAGGCTGTCCATGCAAATGTGGAATTTTAGAGACTGGTGTCATATGGTAATCAAGCGCCTAATTACATACCCAAAGCAAGTTAAAAAGAGCGCTGGATGATGTGCAAGTGTGCAACTCTGTCTCTCTGCGTGCCCCTTTGTGATGCTGATCAGCTCCGTCATTACTTCCGGACTCACTCAACTCCTGTGACGCGCCCAGCGCTGTCGACAGCTTGCCGGGCTGATTTTCGTGCGCGTATGCTGTCTCTTTCCTTCGCAGCGGGCCTAGGAATCAAGGTGCCGAGCTTACAGTGCTTGCGCAAAATGTCAAAGCACGTGGCTGCCTTGCCCTGACTTATGTGCTTGATTTTATTGCAGAGAAACACCCGTGCAGCATCAGCGCTCTTTGACGCAGTCCTCAGCTTGCGTTCTGCGCAGTAGAATGAGGTCTCCCCTCCGCGCGCCTCATCAGCACATTTTAGAACTAAGCAAACTTTGCAGGCGCGCTGCCTGAGTTTCCTAGTAGCCTCAGAGTTGCCTTTCCCCCATTCATCCGTCTATACAGGCACATGCTTAATGGCAGTCCGGCGAGTTTTAGTTGGTGTTGGCTGCATGGCACGGTGCAGCAGCGTTTCCTTCCAGTCATCGGGTTTAAGCTGAATTAGCTCCAGGTGAAGCCGCTTCAGAAATTGCACGTGTGACATCTTGGGCTTTCCGTCTGCAGCACGGCGGCAGTTATACAGAATGAATGCGTTGATGATGGCGAGGTCTATCAGCCCCAGAAACAACGTTTTGTAGTATTTCTTGTATCGGCAAGTCATTTGAAGAGAGTTTCTAATATCAACATTGTACGTTACCACTCTGGCCCACTTAAGAATCGACAGTTTGATTTATCCTCATTGTAATGTGGTCCACATTTGACTTTTTAATTGGACAAAATATTGGTATATATCATGTGATTGGCCACAAGTTTCGGGTTTTCCATGTGGCATCGAAATTAGCCCAAAAAACCTCTATACGCGGATCAGTCTAATGCAGCCGCAAAGTACGCTAGACATATATCACGTATATGAACATGTAGGAAACTGTCTCCGAAATAAATGGATACCCTTTTCTATTAATATCGTAAAAAAATGATGGTACTGCGCTAAAAAAACTGATGCTACCCAAAATTGTCGACGCAAATTGAAGCTTTGCATTCACAATTTCAGCTGTTATTGACAGACAATTATATCACGCGAAACAGGAAAATCTCAGGATTATTTTGAGGTATGGCAGCTCCCAAACAAAAAATCTGGAGAATATTATGGCTTGAAACCCAAACTGTCGATTCTTAAGTGGGCCAGAGTGGTACACATTAGCCCATTTGAATAAAGTTGTACATACACAAAAGTAGAACTTACGTCTGCAAACGTAGCTGGTCATATATACATCTACTCCTCCCATTTACGTCTGGTAATCCTTCACCACCCTTGGTGCCATCACCTCTGTTGCTCAGCTGTTTGCGGATCACGTCGAACAATCCGGTCTTGTTGCCCTCTACCTCCAGTCGCAAGAATGTGCACGCCCTGGTTGTCGTACCAGGGTACCGCTTTCATAGCTGGAACATGAAGTGAGTCTGCCACCTGAAATGTTCCTTTCACGATGTCCTTGGGTCGCTTATTCGACACTCGCCGTCCGTTTTTTATTTTTGGAGGCCAAATAGCTTCACACAGGCCTTGACGGTTCATCATGATTGTCCCGATAGTGTAAATGCTCATAGCCAAAAGCTGCATTGCAAGAACGACCGTCGTATAGAATCGGTCTGTAACGACCAGCCGGAATAAAGCAGGTCCCGTAGTTCCAAACACGTGACGAAGATTTCGCACCACAGCTGCAGGTCCAGCTTTTTTCTTTGAGATCTGTTCCTTCGCCTTGCATCTGACGCTTTCCACAGTAGACCGCAAAGCTGTATTGGACAAATTATGAATCGGAAGAATAGTATTAGACACGATAAGACAGCTTTGGAACAGCAACAAAAAGAGCGTGCCCAATGGCACGCTCACACTTACCGGATACAGTAGAACAGCAAAGCATAAACAGCTTTGCTCCCCACTTGTGTGGTTTGTATTTCATAAAGACTCTCATTCGATTGAAAGTTGACCTCAATGAAAGCATCGCTTTATCGAAGGTCATAACTGGAGGAGGTATATAGTTGGCTTGAAATGTCTCCTGCAAGATGTCCACGATAGGACGTAGCTTCCACGCGCGATCGGTCTGCGCCCGTGTGTTATCGCTATCACTAAAGTGAATATTTCGGAAAATGTGTGCAAATCGATCACACTTGCGGTATGCGCTGAAGCAGCCACGAGGGATTGCTCCTTCATCTGTGGTCTTCCAGTGGTGCTCGAAGTTCTCCTTCTTTGGCGCAACAGTACTTGCAATAAGGCAGCCGATGGACACACAAATTTCTCGGCCGGATAGGTTAGGTGTGCGCTCGAGTGCCGCTTTTATTTGCTCGTGGGTTTAAACCTGGAAGTCTATGTGTTTCCGACTGCGACTTTGCTGCTTTACATGCTGTGAAGCCACTCTCTTGTCGAGTTTAGCCTAAAAATAGTCTTCACTAGCATTAGCAATCGTCTCCCACATATCCGGCAGTGCAAGTCGAAAAAATACACCAGCAGGCGTTTCAGCAGCATTGAGTGCACCAGGAGTAGGTCCGTAGCTCCCGTCGTAGATTCCAGGATAGTCCTCAGACATCCAGTTAGTAGGGCGCGCCTCTTACCGTTCGTCCATGTACGAATAGGGGGTCACGTTGCTTGGATCGGTCCAGCTGTTAACCCCCCCCCCCAAAGCGAGCGGATTTCGTTGCGCCTATTTACCGAAACCCCATACACGTTATGGATAGTGGGTTACAATAGTAAGACCCAGCTATATTTTATCGTGTATTTAACAGAGTCGGTACAGCGCCCCACCCCTAGGGTCTTCATTTCTCGATATCGTGTATCAGGTATACTAACATGTCTGCACTGTACGCGATAACGCTGATATCGTGTCCTGAGTGAGCAAAGACAACACAACATTTGTACAAAAACACATCTAGCGGGGAGTGACGGGTCATATTTTTGTCGATATTTAGAGAAGGATTCCACATGGCGATCTGCACAAAAAAAATATATTCAAAATAAGTTATATTTGAAGCCGGAACATGTGCTCTGACGACGATCTCACTAGATGCCGTCATCGTTGGTGTGTGGTTGCCATCCCGAACGACCCTGAGAGGAAACACTTTCGATTTCAGCTCTAGACTGCGACTCCGAGTCGCTGGCATCAGAGCCACCGTCACTTGCAGCGCGTGCGGGCTTCCGGGCTCGAATTTTGCGCTTGCGTCCTGATTGAGGGATCATAGTCCCATTTTTCCAGTGTTTATGCCAGATATCCCAGTAAGAAGTAGGTTCGCCTTTGCTGCAATGCTTCACCTTGTTGCAGAGGAATACGCGTGCGGCTAACTCGTGTCTTGATGTTGTTTTCAGCTTACATTCAGCACAGTAGAATGTCGTTTTACCTCCTCGAGACGTGGCAGCGCCTTTTAGCACCGAACAAACCTTGCACGCACGCTGCCTACGCTTTCTCGTCTTATCGGAGTTTCCTTTGCGCCACTCGTCGGCCTGTACAGGCATGTGCGCCGCTCGAGCTTGTCGTGCCCGCGTTGGCGTCGCGTGATGCCCGCGGTGGCGAAGAAGCTGCACCCAATCTTCCGGTAGCAACAGACAGAGCTGTAGATGAAGCGTCTTCAGAAAAGTCACGTGGGAAACCCTTGGCTTCCCGGTTGCCGCGCGATGGTAATTGTGCACGATGAAAGCATGGATGATAGCCATGTCTATCAGTCCCAGAAAAACAGATTTGTAGTACTTCTTGTAGCGCCGAGCCAATTGCAGTGAATACCTAATAATACGTACAATACATGTTAAAACGATGACTTCAACGTGTATATACAGAATATGAATACTTGCCGTTGTAGACGTAACTGGTCGTGAACGTCGACTCCGCCCATGAAAGTCTGATAGTCTTTAACGATCCGTGGACACATCAACTCTGTCTGATCTCCAGCTACTGGATTCCTACGTACGATACGGTCTGGTACTGCACTTCCTCCAGCAGCAAGCAGATACACCGCTTGATTATCCCACCAACGGACGGCCTTGATCGATGGCACCTTTTGGAGGGTGGCTACGTCATACGTTCCTTTGACGATCTGTGCTGGTCGCTTCTTTGATTCCTTCCTGCCGTTTTTAGTCTTCTTTGGTAGAATTGCTTTGCACAGCCCCTTTCTGTTCGTCATTATTGTGCCCAAACTGTAGAAGTGCATGGTCAGCAGCTGCATAGCCAGCACGACAGAGGTGTAAAACCTGTCGGTGACTATGAGACGTCGCTCAGTTGGTCCGTTGACGCCAAAGACTTGACGTAAGTTCCGTACGACTGCGGCAGGTCCCGATTTTTCATCACTGGGTGTGCTACTGTCTTGCATTTGTTGCTTTCCACAATAGACTTCAAACCTGTAATATACACAATAGTTCAAAAGGTTTTAGCATGCCGAAGACACGATAAGGTAACTTTGAAACAAAAAAACAAAAGAGCGTGCCTTCGGGCACGCTCTTTTCCTTACCTGATGCGGTATGCAGACTTGGAACAGCACAGCATAAAAAGCTTTGTGCCCCAGCGATGGGGCTTGTCCTTCATGAAGATTCTCATCTTGTTGAACGGAGACGTGCACGGAAGCATCGCTTCGTCAAACGCCATTATTGGAGGTGGGATGAAACTGGCCTGAAATGTTTCTTGCAGCACGTCAATCACCGGGCGGAGTTTCCAAGCTCGATCGGTATGCGCTCTTGCGTCAGCATTGCTGCTAAAGTGGAGATTCCGCGAGATATGATAGAAGCGATCTCTAGTCATAAATTCGTTAAAATAGCCACGAGGAATAGCACCTTCATCTGTAGTCTTCCAATGGTTATCAAACCTCTCTTTGTTGGGAGCTATGGTTCTTGCAATAAGTAATCCAAGAAAAATAGCAATTTCTCGTCCTGAAATGTCCTTCGTGTTCAGCAGCTTAGTCTTTATGATATCCGGAGGTGAGACATGGAAATCAGGCCTTTTCAGCTTCCTATCTAGCTGCTTGGCGTGTAGACTCTCCACTCGCGCGTCCAGGTTCTCCATAAAGTAGTCGTTACTAGCACCCGCAATTCTTTCTAGTAAGTACGGCGGGACGAACTGAAAAAATGCACCAATTGGGGTCTCGGCAGCGCTCAACGCTGCAGCAGTTGGTTCATGTTCACCGCGAAATAGATCCGGATAGTCAATATTTGTCCAATCATCGC